TGGTGGAGTTGAACATTATTTGATTTATTATAGTGATTCTATAGTGCCATTCACATATCTGTACAGTAAATATGTAGCTAAAGCCAGAAGCTAGTTAGCTTATCATAGCATCATCTTATCTTAGAAATGGAGTAAATTGGTAGCCTAGCTCAGTCCAAAGAGAACAAAATCCACCCACCAGCACCCCTAAAGCTAAATAATTAACAATTCATATCTTGTTTGTTCTTTACAAACACAAAATGTAACACATTTCTCATTTTATAAGGGTTTAAGGGCAGAAGTATATCTGGCTGGCTGCCTGGCAAGACATCATCAGCCCGGATGCCAAATTAAAATGTTGGCATTGTATGTTTTCGCGAACCACAGATATTATGTAACTGAGATTACGTGTACATGAGCTAAGTTTCTCGTCAGGAGAGGGACGGGATGGTGGATGGCATTTTTAAATGAAGACATGTTTTCCTACCCTTACTAAGAGTGCTTTCAGACCTAGAGTTTTCTCCTTTGGTCCGAATCAGGGACTAATTTTGTTACAAAGTTGCATAATTGCTTAGAGTTAGTTCGTGTTCTCACGGCAGCATTTACAAGCGGACCTGATAAAACGCTTTGTGTGAGAAAGCTGCTCTTGATTGGTCAGAATTTCCATGTGGGAAAAATCCAGGAAGTAAACCAAACGTTGAAGAAGAGTACACTTGCAAGATAAATGCGACACTTCCTAATGTCACAATGGAGGGACAACTACGGAGGCTGATTGGATGCACCGAATGTGCATATTAAGGTAGTACAGGAGGAGGCGCACATTAATAATCCTCCAGGACTGTAACATGCTCATGTTTAACCCAAACAATGTGTCATTTGACTGCAGTTGGTTCGGATCGAGGTCGGAACGTGTTCTCACCGCAAATAAACCACACCAGAGTTTGTTTGTAACCAGATCGAGACCACCTCTTCAAGAAGGTCTCGGTCCGGTTGTTTTGGTGCACACCTGAGTGCGATTGTTTTAGTCACACCTGCCCAAATGAACCACACTTAGGGGGCAAACAAACTTGAGTTCAATTGAATCGAATCAAACAGGGCAGGTGTGAAAGCACCCTAAGTGGTTTTTGTGCCTAATCCTAACTGCACAATAGCCCCAATGTTGTCACAACATGAAATTGAAACATAAAGAAATGTTAAGTTTCAACATATCCACTATAAATCAAATACACAAATCATATCCATGGTTTGCAGAAACGTACAATGTTTATTGTGGCAATTGGGTCAAAATTTCCAAGTCCCTGGGGCGTCGGTAGCGCAGTGGATAGTGCCGGCACCCCCTGTACAATGGCGATGCCTCACCGCAGCGGTCGCAGGCTCGACTCCGGCTTGCAACCACCCGCTGCATGTCACCCCCCGCTCTTTTGCCTACATTAAAGGCAAAAAGCCAAAAAAAAAAAAAAAATCATAAAAAAAAGTAAAAAAATTTCCAAGCCCGTTTTGTCAAGCGTAAATTATTCATCAAGCAATATGTGAAAACACTCACCAGTACCAACTTTTAAGTCATACGGTTTGTTGCCTGTCCGCTTCTCTTTGATTTGTATTATTGTAAACTTATTATCTTTGGGCAAGAAGGTTCATTATCAACCTTGGAAACCACAATTCGACAAAATATTCTTAACTCAACTGGTGACCAAAGTCAGTGGACAGCATTTTGCATCCCCCATATGCAACCACATGTAGTCACATGACCAAAATGCCATATTATGGTCATGTGATCAGAACTTTTGCCATGATAACAGGGCAGCGCCATCTGCTGATAAAGGCCAGAAGAAGTTGCTGAGAGCTCTGGCAAATTACCATAAATTCAGATAGGTGTCAAACCAACATTCTTTAGTTTGCTGCCGGTCAGCCAAAACAGATGTTTTGAAGTCATCACTTTGGATTTTGGTGAACTGTGATGGCTGTTTTTCTATTTTTTCTGTAATCTGTTCAAAGTAACAACTGTCTTATACTAAATATATTTTTCAAATAAATGTAACATACTAACTTTATTAGCACAATGGCATTTTACATTGTATAAATTAGCCCAGTGACTAGCAGAGATTTCCTCTGCTCATATGAAGCCAGGATAAATCACACACAAGATTTAAAATGCTATTTTGTAGGGGCTTTGTTGTCTTCACAATTTATTGTTTATCTGTGAAATTAAAGTAAATAAAAGCTTCATTTCCACTGAGGGAAACTGTTTTAGCTCACAAAATAGAGGAGGTCTGCATCGCTGCAATGTGTAGTTACATTTCTGGGGAGGTGCATGCCAGGCTACAGCGTAGGGTACAGCATCAATTTGACGCCGAAGTATAAATCCAGTTTAACATGCTTGTACTTGCACTGTGTTTTTAATTCCACAATGAAGTTACTAATGGCACTACTCTAATCTGACTAGATACATAAAGTAACCTGTGGGGACACAGAGTCAATCACTTTCCAATCTAGTCACTTCGTAAGTTTAATTTCCCTCACTATACAAGAAAACATTTGCACCAGCACCACAGGTCAGTTTATAACATAATGACAGAGAATAAACACACTCGATGATTAGTCTGTGAGGTTTCAATTTATATTTCAAACTGATTGCGCTGAGAGTGAATTAACCGTCAACCCCTGTAAGTGCAGTGTACAAAGTCATCAAGTCGTTAACAAAGTCATTTTCTGGTTTGTGATGTGCTCTGTGATGAGACTACTGGGATGAATCATACAACAACAGACAGCCTCTCTCGGGGACTGCATGGCACTTACCATTCATGTTCATCAGATGGTTATTATTTGCAAATTTGGTAAACACTTCAGCTTTTCATTTGACAACATTCCTACATTCAACCCACACCGCTCATTCCTGCAGCTTCTCTCTCTTCACCCTCGGATCTCCTCTACAAACTGACAGGACGCCAACAAAACATTTTCTCATGTCTGAATGACTGAAGGTGGGAATAAATAAAATACGAGAACACTAGATTAGTGAGACTTTTTACACTGAGGAACTGGACTCTAACCAAGTCTCACTTTTTTTTTCCTGTGTTAATATTTTTTCCTCTCTGTTTTGTTTTGAAGCTCAGCTGACTGGCAGGTCTGAGCGTTCACACTTATAAAGGTTACGGGGAGTTTTGAAAGTGCCAAGTTTATTTCTAAAGTAGACGTCTGTCAAAATGACTGGCTGCCACACACATGCACACACATATACACACACACTTCTGTTATTCCAGCAGACTGACAGTTGTTTATTCTAAAGCAGAAGTTCACATGCTGAGGTGGTCAAGACATCACAAGCTGCGAGGTGCGGCACCAAAGCTGATTTAGTGATGTTGTGTCATTGGCTGCTGATGGTGTTGAGACCAAAAGGTGATGCTTAATATCACAAAGAGGCAACAAATTATTATCAGTGAGTTGTTCTTGTTCAAGAAAGCTATTGGACGTTTGGTGCCTTCTTTTGAGTTGCTGGTGGTTTTTGTGTCAGAACTCACAAACATCTGGCGTACACCTTACATGTGTGCCGTGTCCTGGAAGCACGGAATAAAAGGCCTCCCGGTTGATCTCAGAGAAACAATGTGGATGCTCATGGTGTAAATCTGCAACGAGTATTAAAGGCTGAAGTTTTTGGAACACAAAGTCGTTTGTCTGAGCTTTTGCTCTCAGACTGGCTTTCCTTTATTGGGTAGCTGACAGTTGTCAACTAAGAAATGCACCCACGCTCACAACAAAATCCCCCTTGATACATGACTTAAGCGGTTTCTTATGCAAATATTTCCCTGGAAAAACTCCGACTGAACATAGCCAACGTGTGCAAATAAGATTAGTTCACATCCATTCACTGCCCTGTCAACTTGCAACATTAACTTGACAATGACCATTATCAGCATGCTGTCGTGTAAAAGAGCAAATAAGCGACTGTAGAAAGACACACATCTGATTCAATAAACTTTCTTGCGACACCAAAATACATAAAAATTACATTGTAGAACCAAAAACAACCAACTTATTGTTTACATGTGACACACCCAGAATCATGATTGCAAACTCTTGGCCTATTATAAGAAACGTTTGGTGCAGAAGAATAACTGACCTGCATGCATACAACAGAATGAAACAGTAGATCTGTCATGTTTCACTAGGTTTCATTTTGAACAATGCCACACACAGTATACAGTACTAAAGTGCAAAGTGTACAGTTATCTAATTATGATCCCTGTCTCTTTAACAGAGAGCTATGTGTCTTTGAGACTTTAAAGGGACAGTTCACCCCAAAACCAGAAATACATATTAATCTTCTTACCTGTTGTGGCATTTATCAGTCTAGATTGTTTTGGTGTGAGTTGCCGAGCGTTTGAGATATCGCTCTGTTTTCTCTTGAATGTAATGGAACTAGATGGAACTCGGCTTGTGGTGCTCAAAGCGACAAAAAATACATTTGAAAAACTTAACAGCAATGTCTCTTTGCAGAAATTATGACCTGGTTACTCAACATAATCCACAGACCTTGTTGTGAGCATTTTCATGTGGGGACTATTTTCTTTCTACTAAACTACACCCACCAACCGAATCACTGTGCAGAAGGAAGAGTGCATCTACTGCTAGCTCAGGTAGCACAAGTAAGCTAGCTAACATTACAGCTCAGCCGAGGAGAACGCCATTAATGTTAACATGAGCATAAGCCTCTCGTCCATGAGTAGATGCACTCTTCCTTCTGTGGCAATACAATCAAATGTATTTTTTGGCATTTTTAGCGGGTGCCAGCTAGTTTCCTTATACGCGACAGAAGGCGGACATCTCCAACACTCGGCATCTCACACCAGAACAATCTAAATTAATACACAGCAACACAGATAAGAAGACAACTATGTATTTTTTGATTTTGGTGTGAACTGTCTCTTTAAAGGAACCCTGTGAAGTTTTCTTCCAAAAACAGTAAAGTTGTGTGTTTACATCAGTGTTTCTCACCAAAAAGCATTAAGGCCTAAAAACCCTCATGAGGTATTAGAAAGTCTGATTTATTTTCATTTGAACCCTGCATTGTTTACAACTGTATTTGCTAGCTAGCACTTTTCCACGTCCTTGCATTTTGCTGGTGCATTGCTACTTTTCTTGGCAATTTACTGCCACCTGTCAATCACTGGAATAGTGCGACACTATTGGCAGAAAGGGAAGTGGTCAAAAATTTCACAGGGTACCTTTAAAGAAGAAATATATTAAATCTAAGCAGTGAAAATGAAGTTAAAGATGAACTTCAGAATTTTCCAGTTGACTTGCATACATTCAAACCTTTAAACAATCTGAAACAAGTGACAAAGACTGAAACAAATGCCAGATAAGAAGAATCCTTAAAACCACAACAAGCCACAACCACAAAAATCAGTATAAAATACTTTCTGCAGCTCCAAAGATCAAATGCATCTCTGACATTTATATCTGTTATTGTTACACTTTCAGGTCTGTTTTTTTTTCTCCAACAGGAATTGAAACCCAGGTGATTTTTGCTATCATACACCCATGTTGCTCAGTATTGCTACTCGTGACAAAAAACAGAAACAGGAACTATTTGAAGAGAAACATTTGTCTTAGAGTCATGACACATGAACATGGAACACAGACATGGAACGAATAAATACAGGCTTCTGTGGTGAAATGAACCTTTGCTCAGTTTCAGATCACACTTGACCTTTACTGACTCGTTTAGCTGGATAAATGACGGCCAATGAAAAACTTTCGCTTGTAGAGCTTCATCAATTCATGCCTTGATATCTTGGGTGGAATGCAATAAGAGTCAATGGTTACAAAGTCGATTGTTAGGATTTGAGCATGTAATACACAAGAGATCAAAAACGTTTTAGGTTGGTAGAAGTTCAGTAAGTTTTATCTTCTTCATTTATCCAAACTACAACCCTCTTCATCCGAGACTGACTTTGGTTAACAGGTCTGGGTCACTATCTTTAAATGCATAATTAGAATGTTAACGTAATTTCACAGTCCAAAAAATATATATTCAAATATATACACATTTGATAAAGCAATACCCGCCACATATTGTAACAATGATACGAGTCGGAACTGAGGTGTTAATCCCAGGTGTTTGTGTTGTGTGTTTGTCTGCACACTCCCACGGATTTTCAATTCTGGGACACACTCAGAGGCGACGCTGATGTTAAAGCAGGTGACACAGAGAGATATGGTTCTTCACTGGCTGATAGCGATCAGACTGTGAAGCCAAAGCAAAGCGCTTGATGCTGAATTACACTTCTCCATTATTGGTGACTTCAGAGCGTGAGCTTATTCACAAGCGCCGCTGTGCACATCATATTATACCCAAAGCTGAATCCAGTTCAACATTCACTGAGAGCAGCTGCTTGATCACATGACTGAAAGCTAGCCGATGGAGCAACACATTTTTAAAGTCTCTTGTCTGCCTCATACCAAACACTTATTATTATATTTACATATTATTTATACAATTTTTGTATTATTTTGACGTACACAGTCTTTTCCTTTTATATGCTCTGAACAAAGGTGCCTTTAACCGTATTTGCTTGGGACTAGTATAAACAGGGGACCTCGTGATTTTAATAATTACCCCTTCCCCAAAAGCCTGTGTTTCGTGCCGCACATTAACACAGGATAAGCAAAGTCTGTATTTCTCTCACATTTGCTGACATATCCCCCTAAATATGATGCACACAGTCATTTGTGACTACACTCTACTCCAGTGGTTCCCAACTGATGGGTCGTGACCCAAAAGTGGGTCATGGGTCCATTCTCAACGGGCCGCAAGTGACTCACTAACGTGTCAAAGTTGTAAAAAACACACTTTATCTTTAAGTATGGTGAATTTGTGGCACAGATCTTTTATTTCAAAGTGCTGTTTCCCGCAGAGTTCATAGCTATTGACAGAGACAGCAAACTAGCTCGACCACATGGCCAAACGCAAGTATGACGCTAAATATCTTTAACTGTGTGGACCTTGAACTGATGACTATGGAGAAATCTGGACCCCATGGCTGGACCAGTTGGGAACCACTGCTCTACACAACACAGAAAACCTACACAGCACCACTAGCAGAGATACACCATGTTAACCTCTTTTTCCTGTCCTTTAAAATGTGAGTCATCTTTTGAGTTTTCTCTCTTCTGATGGATTTAAGCTTCACTTTCTGTCAATGGGTGTCCATGCTGTGTAGCAAGATCAGCCTCCTTCGGCCAAAACGCTTTCAAAACATTCATTTATATTTGCCAACACAGCCTTCATAATTTTCAACCAGGAAAGAGGCAGAAAAGACAAATAAATCCCAAGTCACCCAATGCCAATTCACACGGGACTAGTATTTCTACATGACCTCTGTGTTTAGTGAGATTCGATAAAGTAAAGTCGAATTTTTTCTTGACAAACTACGGACATGGCAGATTTGCAAGGGATTAAGATCACAAACCACCTCCGCAATTACTACAAATTGCTCGAGGTCCCCAGGTATAACTAGTCCTGTGCGAATGGGGCTTTTGTAAACTACCCCTGTAATGCACCTTGCACATCTCCCTGTTCCTGTAAATTTGAATAAAGTTAATTTAAAAACTAAGATCTTCTGAGGTGGTCCTCTCTCCAGCTCATCTCTAATAGTTCTGCAGTTCAGGAATGTTCTTGTAGAGGTCCAGCGAATCAGGGTTGGAGAAAGCTCCTCTTTGCGCCACCTCCCGGCCGGCAATCACCTGCTTCACAGCCACCTCCACCTTCTTCCCGCTGATGGTGTACTGCAAAGGGATGAAGAAAAGAGCTGTCATTCAAAATAGAACTAACTTTTACACTTGAAACCACTGTGACAGGATAATCTGACAGGTTTACTCATATCTGATTGATATTCATATTTCTCTTACAGGAATGTCTCTGGTCTCCAGCAGCAGAGCAGGGACGTGTCGGGCAGACAGGGCTTTTCTAATGGCTCCTTTAATCTTTGCCACCAGCTCCGGACTGAAGGGCTTACCGGGTGCCATTTTTAAGAACAAAATAACGCGCTCCTCTCCATCGGCATTGTACTGAGGAACGCAGAGACTGTCTGTCACATCCTCGAATGCCTCCACTGCAGCGAGGAGAGGAGAGTAGAGAAGAGGTCAGAGTAGAGGACAAGGAGACAAAACAAAAAAATGAGGAGAGCAGATGAGAGGCGAGGAGAGAAGAGGAGGTGAGAGGTGAAGAGAGTCATGGAGCAAGGATTAGAAGAACAGAGAACAAGAAGAAATGGAGTGTTGTAAGAGTTTTGGCAAGAACAGAGAAAAATGTTTCACCACTTTGCAACTTCCAAACTTGGCAGAGAAACAATACATTCCTGGTGTCAACACTCAGAAGAAAATGTGCTTCTGCTACATTCTGTTGGCTTCACAAATAATAACAAGTGAACAAACAATATTTTTCTCACCAGCATAAAAAGGACCATGACTCAATTTGAGCTCACAAAAACGCTTTGCTGTGTCCTTTCATCATTTCAGCCTTTCTTACACCCACACCTGCACCTCCACCTGTAATGTGAAGACTTACCAATGTTGTAGATCTCAGAGCTGCCAAATCGGACTCCGTTGGGGTTCAGTGTACCATCACTGCAGAACAAACACAAGTTCAAGATCCAAAACTCAAGCGTCTGTCATTGAAAAGCTGTCGTGTCACAGAAAGTCTACCAGCATATGGAAACAATGTCAGTTCCTGAGAGCAAGTGATTGTTTCTTTCTTTAAATGTTTGAATATGGAAACTATATGTTTGTCTATTTATTTGTTTCAGTGCATGTACATTTCCATATTTTCAGTTTATTTTCATGTACCCTGGAGAACTTAATTTTTTTTTGGTCTTTTTTTAACTTAAAGAAATCTTATTTGGTGCCATAAAGCAGCTCAAGAGGTGGTACAAGCTGAGCTTTCTGAGTGAAACAGTAGGCCATTTTAATCTGTCCACGTGCACAGTAATCTAAATAAATTAATCAATTAAAACTACAGTAATGAAACCATTATTATTTCAACATTCAAAAATCTCCCCTGAGTAGAACTGTTAATGGCTGACCTTCTGCCCAGCATGACAATGCCTCCTGTCTTTGCGTTGATTTTACAGTAGTCTCCATGGGCCCACACCCCTGGAGAAAAAGAATATGGTGATAGAAAAACATGCAGTGAAAACAAACATAAAAAAACAACCAATGAATAAACACAAACAGATGCAGAGAAAAATCTGTTGAGAACTGAAAACATTTTTTGTTGCAGCCTGAAATACCTGATTCATTGCAGGTTTATAGGCGTTTTCTTGCAATGAAATTGTAGGAGCATGTGAAAATTGCAAAAAATACTTGCGAGGATATCTCTGATTTGGAGCGTATTATTATGAGCATTCGGTGTTGCCCACAGTATCTGAATCTATTTGTGATCAGGGGGGTTGCCGATCAGCTGTTAATGTCATTTGAAGCAGTGCTGAAGGGCTGTTCCCATGAGAGGCTCTCCTCCTGCTCTGTCTGATTAAAAGGAGCTAACAGCACAATATCATCTCATCACTACTGTTCATATTTTGCCACTTTGGAAGAGGGCTCCCAGCAGGGTTAGCCGTTAATCACACACTGAAATGGCTCAACTCTGTCGTTAAACCTGTTAATAACCGTTGGGTAATGTTAGCTTTATGTTGCTAACGGTTAGCCCTGTCACTGTGTGTGTGTGTGACTGTCCCAGGTGCAAAGCCCCAGCCCATGATAAACACAGAGAGACGGGCTGAGCAAATCAATAGGACGCACACAGCTCTACGATGACATTGTAGACTGATTTTTTTTTACCATTTTAATTAGTCAAATTTACAGTAAAGTTGTGGTGACTGAAATTGCAAGGTTGCACAGAATTCAAAATCCTGGGTGGACTGATTATATCATACAAGTGTTTTGTGTATATGTATACTGTATGTAAGTTTGTATTTGCGTCTGTCAGCTGGTTCGGGTGTTATCAGACCATTAGATGGTCATTATCAGTTCTTTTTAGCCTCATAAAAATGGGTTCAGAAGCCTATCATCAGGCCATGACACGACTGTTTGTGTTTATTGTTAGGCAGCGACCTCTCATGACCATAATATTTATGACAGGAGTAAAGGAGGAAGTCAGCTGATGTAGTCAAAATAGCGAGAAAGTACGTGTCAGGTGAGTAGTTGGGAGGGAGAGATGGTGGATTGGTCAAATAGACACAGAACTTTCACCCAGGAAAGCTGGGTTTCCAAACCAAAGTCAGTGTTAAATATTTTAATCAGAAACATTTTTTAATTGGCCTATTGTGATATGTTTTTCCTAAACCTGTAAACACAGTTATTGTGCCTTAAACCTAACTAAAGTGAAAGTAAAACCTGATAAAATGGCGACTGTTTCACAACATTTAATATGCAAATGGACATTTAATATAATGGCCTTTGAGCCTAATAGCAGTTGTGGCAGGCCCTTTCGAACCCATATCTACGAGGCTTAAAACTACAAATAACAGCCATTTAATGGGCTGATAACATCCGAATTGGGTGTTCCTATACTTACCAGGATATGTAGAAAAGTATGCTTTGTGGTATTTGCCCCCATTCTCGTCATTCCAGAAGTGTGTTGGCTGGCAGGGGATTGGTTTCAAGCACACTAGCTCCCCGCTCTCTCCCCATACAGGCTTACCTGTCCACAGACACACACACATTTCACAAGAACAAAAACTTTAGTGGATATACTTTGCCAAAACACACATACACTTGGACACAAACCTACGAACACAAACACACTCACACACATCTAAATCATTTTCAGACCAAAAAAAAAAAAAAAATCACCTGGTTATATATCCCACACTCAGAGAACCTGATACACTTTAGTGTGTGGTTTCACACAGACCTCACCTCCTCCCTCAGGACGGTGTTATAGGCTTAGAGACCGACTAATATAATCCCAAACTCTTCCTACAAAACTGCCTTTAAATTATCCCTCAATCCACTCTCCTTTGAGGTGGTGGAGACACGCCAGTACAGCCTGCAGCAGGGATCGGGAGCTGGGGAACAAGGGACTAAAATCAATGAGAAAAACATAGAGGGCTTTGAAGACTCCCAGCAAGATAAAAATCTTTCTTTTTTGTTTGGATTGTTAATGAAAAAAATAGTGCCTGTTTTACCTGTATTTACCCAGGGACAGTTCAACAATTACTCTCTCAATGTTTCAGCAATGGCTACCTTCAAATCCATGCCAATGCATTCAGGTACACTGGCATATGGGAGCAACCAAGTATAACTACAGTTTTGTTCTGCTGGCTACCGAGCAGCTCCCGAAGCAGATGGGAAGTTTGCTCAAGGGCATCTCAACGGTTTGTAAACTGATTAATTTTCCTCATTAATATTTTCCCAGTCCCTCCTAGGATTCAAACTAGCAACTTCCTCACAACCTCTATGTGATCCCTAGACTCTGATTTCAATATAGACTGCTCAATAAATCCCTTGACAGAATTTTGACTAAAAAGAAATAAAAAGCAATGATATTCCATTTCTGAGCCATTCTGAACATGCACACACACTCACACACACATACACACTCTCTTACCGTCAAGACTCCAGGCTTCCACAGCCATGCCAAGGTTTCTTGTTTGGATCTCGCCCCGATACACTGGAACTGTTGGGTTCTGACCCATGAAACATGACACTATGTCAGTGCCGCCTGGGCAGAGAGATGAGAGAAAAACAGACACAGAGGGAGAGATTTAGTTGGTTGATGGTCTGAAATAAAACATGTCATCTTGAAGGGAACTCTGCACCTTTATGAAGCTTTCTGGTCTCTGTTAGTTAATTTTTTAAGATTTTAAGGCGGTGGTAGCAGGGAGGATTGTTAGCTGCTCTCTTTAACACCACAAGATGTTTTTAAAACGGGTCAAGTCCAATAAAACGACTTTACATGACCTGCCCGGCACTAAACTGCAGACAAGCAGCTAAAAATTGGCATTTGGGCCGTAACTATCTCGTTCATTTGGAGCCATAACACATAATACACACACATAATAAATTCATTTTTACAGACTTCTATACAATATCGCTTCTTTTTGCATCCAGTAGTATCGCCCCCTGCTGGCTAATAGAAAGAATACAGGTTTACGGGGTCGTACACATGCCGTGGAAAACGCAAGGTCGGGCACTCTGTGTGAATCTTGCACCAACCAACTTAAACAATTAATGGACAACCCACACTACAGGGGTAGGCAAACAATGGATATTGCTGCAAATCTGTTAATTTATTGTTTGTCCATTGAATGCCTATTAGTCATCACTTATTAAGCCTAGTTCACATTACACGATTTTCACCGCGATTTGGACGTCGCAGAGGATCTTGAGAGCCACCTTGGGTCGGAGGCAGATAGTCTGCCACGACCAGTGCTCATGTGTGAACAAGCCTACAAGCAAGTCACCCCCTCGTTTGCGACTAGGACTGGATATCTGGCATGCTAGAAAACTGGAGAAGAGCATCAGCCAATGAGAGGCAGGATACGTCCCATGTCAGCACGCAGGAGGACGGAAGAAATGTAAGACAAGCCGCAGGGTTGCCAGGTCTGCTTCTTAGCCACGACTTTGGGCTTGTTTTTTTGTAAAGTCACTTACAAATATTGGTAGTCAAAGGTTGCGGTTTTTTGGGCTTGTTTCTAAAGTGGAGTTGCTTATTTGGGCTTGCTCACCAAACGTACGTCACCTTTCTCTGTATATATCTGTCTAATAAGTTATTTAAACGCATGATAGTCGCTTCTTTTGGGCTTGTTTCCATAGCCCTGGTTGCTTGTTTCTCTCCCAAGATCTGGCAACACTGACAAGCCAGCAAGCAACAACAACAATGGCAGCGTCCACAGGATCACGGGGAGCGCATTGTGTTTGGACCCAGGCCCTGGAAGCAGATCTGATTCAACACTGGGAAGTATCCATGCCTTTACGATGTGTCATCTCCAAGTTTGGTGACGTCACCACACTATCTGGGGCTCTGTCGGCGAGGGCTCGGTGGAGAAATCTTGTGGTGTGCACACACAGGTCGTAACGCAGTTGGCGAGACTCCCGATGACAGTAACACACCTCACCAGGTATGAACACTCAAAAGATTACGATCTCTGTGACGCATTTTGCAGGGTGAAAATCGTGTAATGTGAACTAGCCTTTAGTTGTTTCATTCCAGCAAGAGTAAACTTTAAATAACATACACCATGAAAACAGCAACAATCAGCAAATCACCTTTTACACATTTTCAAGACTGTAACCACTAAATTGTTTTTGCAAACTGTTGATAAAAGTCATCAAAACTGGTAATAAATACATGTTTTCACACTACTAAGGTAATACCATGCTGGCTGTGGGATTATTCTGCCCCCTAGTGGCAAAAAAAAACAATGTGGCTTCAAGTTTAATAAAGATGAAGTGTTTATGGTTGTTTACTAATCTGTATGATTAAGTAAATAAGTAAAGCATCACAGTGACAACTAACCTGAGACATTACTTAACTTAGTAATGGTATCAATTTCGCATTATGACACAAACTGGTGGTGTTAGTGCCCTGCTCCACCTCCATTGACCTATATAGGAGTTATACACTGTTGGAGTACATCCTTAAAACTGTCATGAACACGCACACACACACATACACACACTCTTCCTCTGCCGCACCATCCATTTGTCTCTTTCTACCTTCCAATCATCTACTATTTCTGACACCTTCTATTCATCTCCCTTCCCATTGTTTCATCTCTACCTCCCTGTTTCGTTCCCTCTCTGTATCATAGACTCCATCCATCCATCTTGTTCGCTTCCTCTCAACTGCTCTCTGCCCTTCCACCGCTCCTTCCTTCCCTCTTGCTTTTCTTTCTGTTCCTCACACTCGTTCCCTCTCTTTGTTTCTCTCTCTCTCTCTCTCTCTCTCTCTCTCTCTCTCTGCCAGGCTCTTTATTGAGCTTTAATTGGCTCCCAGGAGGAAGTGGAAACTTTGTCTTCTGATTAAACACACACACTTATAGTGGGAAGACACGCAATTATTTTATTATTACACTCGTTTTAATGGGCGAGTACACACACAAAAACAAAAACACACACACACACACACACACAAGTATATTTTAAGCCAAAAGCCACTGCAGCTTTCTTAGGATGCCTTCCATCATCAGCCATTTAGTGTGCGTGTGTGTGTGTGTGTGTGTGTGTGTGTGTGTGTGTGTGTGTGTGTGAGTATTGTGCGCGTATACACAAGAGGGTACCTTGTCACACTGATCTGATGTTTCTAACAGCACTGACTATTCTGAACAGTGAAGAAAAATATTTTTTGAACTCCCCAGTTTGTGTGTATATATTTGTGTGTGTGTGTGTGTGTGAGGCTGCTTTCATTTGTGTAGGTTTGAGTGCTTTGAACATCCTCTGGCACAGTTTGGGGTCAGACAGAGCCACCAACTGAGACACAAAAAAAAACAACAAGCTAACCTACGCAAGCGTTCATATATTCAAAAATGAATTATAAAAAGAATACACATCATGAAAGCAACAGGAAGACTTCGCTAACACACATCTAATACTTGTGCAGACACATGTGCACACGCAAACACAGTGAACTCAAACACACAACTGAAGAAAAATAAAAACAAAGATGAGGCGTTTTCAACTTTTTTTATCCTACTGAGAAAAGGAGAGAGGAGAAAAGAAGAGGAGAGAAGAGAGGGAGCAAAAAGAGAAGTAGAGGAGTGCCATATGGGCAGTCAGACGGAGGTATATTAGGATGGAGGAAATCCAGCAGTGAAAGTGTTAAAATCCCCCAACGAGGCGCAGCGGGGTTCTGACTTCCCTGCTGACAGTATCACACACACGCACACGCACACGCATCCTGAAATGTATGTATAAAAATATTCACATTGACTCACACACATGTTCGCAGACACATTCACACGGCACAAACTCACACACAGTAGCACAGGGTGAAATCGGCAAAGGGGCCCATCACATATGTCACCGTGACCACCAGTCAGCCCCATATGCTGTGATAAATCCTAAGAACACACACACACACACACATGCGCAGAGTGAGTATTGACCTCGGGGGTCAAGGTTAGGTCGGTTGGCAGCCAACAGGGTTGGAGCCTGCTGTTGCCCTTGGCGACAAGGAGGAAAAGTGATGGGGCAGGACCTGCTGTTCTGAGGAATACACACACAGACACACAAACGTGATCACACACACACACAGATTTAGTCCCTTAAATCTAAAAAAAAAAAGAATCTCAAAAGGATAATTCCAATTTCTTACAACTTGGGTCTCCATTTTTAAAATTTTGGACATCCTCTTTATTATTGATGATGATACTGTATTTGTCAATACAACTGCTGAGACCTGAGAAAAAAAAAAATCTGATAATTTTGACTCATATTGCAATTTAAATATGATTCAGTATATTGTAGGGCATGTTTATTTTTGCATCAATATTCTCATTTTCACTGAAAAATATATATGAAAGTAATTACGCATTATTTCTTTGCAAGGATGTGTACCAAACAATACATTTTTCTGAAGTCTGCAGAATACAATTTGTAGGCTGGGACATCTCTGCAGCTTTATTTTGAATGGTATTTTGACCCATATTTTGTCATACACAAATATTGTGCCTCCTGCGTTTGGATATTGCACTAGTCCATATTGCAATTTCAATAAATTCAGCCTTGCGGTGTACAAAATAAAATGAGCGGTGAAATGACCAGACAGACTGAAAAAAGTCAACAGTTTAACCATAATAACTACATCGCTTTTTTTGGAAGGAAAATAGAATAGCCAAAGTTACCCCATTATAGCGCTGGAAACTGTGTTTGCTCACAGCTATGGTACGTACTTTGGTAAGTGCAGTCAAATCTAAAACAGGAAGTCAAACGGTAAACTGTGATTCATGTTTACAACAGGCACTTTAGGTAAAGATTTTATGTTTTATCTTTCTTTTCTGTGTCACACATATTTAGCTAAACTGAGCAAAGATATGATTAGACTGTTCTTGTTTCTTTCCTTATTGGACTTCTTGTTTACGTTGTCATCATGTTCCCAATTCTCTTGGTAAGTAAAACATAATTATGATAAACAGGGGTAATGACCAAAACTATTTATTGCGGCTTCCAAATGAGTTAAAAAATAGCTACCAACAGATGCCATCATGGGAGATATGATGAACTCACTGTCTTTGGTTTAGTTTTACTCACTGATCGATGATCTAGGGTGCTTCGGTTTGTTTAAAAGTTAATTGATTTGCAGGATGTATGAATGAGTATGAGTTGCAAGATGATGCTATGAACTAACTGACTCGACTGTCACGATTAAAAATCCCAAACAAACATTTCTTAAAAAAACAGGCCTTTACAAAAACAAAGATGAAATCATTGGGATATTAAACGACTTCATCAAACAATAAAAAACTAAGACTAACCAAATAGGCAGCGGTTAAAGACTGTAACCCAATAGTGTCTTCCACACCCCACACTCACTTTAGCACACCTGCCTTTAATGAAAGGTTCCTGAGATGGCAGGTCAGGTGGCGCATTAAAGTGACTTAAAAAAATAATAGGAAACTTTTTTTTTAATTTTACCTCACTGAACACGTGAGCTGCTGGTCTACAGCTTGCTTGATCAGTTGTTTGTTTTTGTTATCGTCTGACTCTGGTGTTTTAAAGGGTTAGTTTGGACTCACCAATAATGAAAACAAACTGATCGAGGCAGACCAGCAGCTCCTGTTTTCAGTGAGGTAAAATTACCAATTCTGTCGATAGAGTCTGACACACAGCTTTAAAGTCTGTGCAGAGACACGTGGAGGCAAGGATGATGTTATGACAACAAAAATAACTTATAAATAAAATATATAGACGCCAATCAATGAGTCACTCAGCTCATTTTGCCCCTCTCTTCTTCTCTCTCTTGGTGACATTTCCGTCGACGCTTGTGCATCCAATCCGTCTGCCTGCAGGTCATTGTGTGCAAGTGTGTGTTTGTGTATGCATCTATGGCTATATGCTACACCTATCAAGGTTGTCATTCAGTCTGTGCATGTGTGACGCTCAAAGCTGCTGCTAAACGTGTGTGTCCGTAATACGTCAGTCACCCAGGCTGTGCTAAATGTTAAACGTTTCAGGGCTCAGAGAGAGAGACAGATAGCATTCTATTGTCCTGTCAACATAACAATGGGCTGAGAGGGCCTGTGTTTGTGTGTGTGAGTGTGTGTGGTGGCATTGTGGGTGGTGAGGAGAATGTACAGTTCTATACAATTTTTTTTTTCTCTTTGTGTGTGTCAGCCCTTTTGTGTCACAGATGCTTTGTTGCTTTATTTTGCATTTATGTGTGTAGCCGCCAATGTTAATGTAAGATACAAAACAACTTTTAGAAAAGTTGCTGCTATTCGCACCCTTAGATGGAATAAAGTATCAGAAAAATGACCGTATGTTTCACGTCTGTATTCGTCAGTCACCTGAGATGGAGCCCAGCAGCACATTGCTCTTGATGCAGCGGTAGACGTAGTCGTAGCTCTGAGGTTTGAGAGGAGATCCAGTGGACAGGATGGTGTGGAGAGACTGGAGGTTGTGTGTTTCCGCTGGGGGAGAAAAAGACACAAGAAAATTTTTTTAAAATGTCTCTGCGAACCGGTCAAGTTGCACTCACAGTTTACATCCATGTCTGTAAAAACATGGATGCTTCACACACGGTTCCCTAAGCAGCACAGAAGAAGTATACAATCAGCAGGATTTCAAGGTGGGCACCAAAAAGTAGAGTCACCATTCAGTATTTAACCAAATGTCTCTCCTTCAGTTCCAGAGTGATGGCCAGAAAAGTGTTTTTGTAGAGTGCTATGATGTCACAGTGAAGTTGACCTTTAACCTTTTGGATATAAAATGTCATCACTTCATCATTTTATCCTTTTAGACATTTGTGAAAAACTCTGTCGATCAGCAAACTAAGTCTTGAGTTAGGCCAAAAACATGTTTGGTAAGGTCACAGTAACCTTGACCTTTGACCCAACAAATTCTAATCAATTAATTATTAAGTCCAAGTGGACATTTGTGACAAATTTCAGGAAATTCCCTGAAGGCATTCTTGAGATACTGGGTTCTAGAAAGTGAAACAAACACAAGGTCACTGTTACTTTGACATTTGACCAGCAAATCTTAATCAGTTCATCATTAAGTCCAAGTGGACATTTGTGCCAAATTTGAAGAAATTCCCTGAAGGTTTTCTTGAGATATTGTGTTCTAGAGAATAAAACAGATGCAAGGTCACAGTAACCTTGACCTTTGACCACCAAATTCTAATCAGTTCATCATTAAGTCCAAGTGGATGTTTGTGCCAAATTTGAATAAATTTCCTTGAGGTGTTCTTGAGATACCCTGTTCACAAGAATAAGACAAACAAGGTCAAAGTGACCCTGACCTTTGACCACTGACCACTAAACTCTAACCAGTCCGTTACAGAGTCCAAGTGGGCGTTTGTCCAAAATTTGAATTTGGATTTGAAATACACAACGAAAACACAGAGAAAACTGCATTACATGACAAACATGTACCACAAATACACAGATACAGACATCTTGCTCACCATCTACCACCCACACCCCCTGCCCTCAGCTGTTGTACAAGAAAATTCAAATTGGATACAGTGACCTTGAATAGTTACATAGCATTTTACAGTACGACATTTTAAAAACATGAACAAGTTGTTCTGAGATGTGAATATAAAGAAGTAGTGAAGCTGCTGAAATCGGTAACAGATCTCAAGAAAAGAGGAAGCTTATTTCCAGTCCAATGTGTAGAATTTCCCTTGAGGATATCGCACTGACGTCAATGAAATAGATGCAAGGTCACAGCGACCTTTGTCCACCAAAATCTAATCACTTCTTTGTTAAGTCCAAGTGGACATTTGTGCCAAATTTGAAAAAGTTGCTCTTGAGATATTGCGTTCACAAGAATGAGACAGACAATGTAAGTGTGACCTTGACCTTTAACTACCAAAATCTATGCAGTTCAGTGCTGAGTCCAAGTGGATGTTTGTCCCAAATTTGAAGATAATTCCCTTGAGTTCTTCTTGAGATATGGCATTGATGTGAACGAAATGGATGCATGTTCACGGTAACATTGACCTTTGACCACGAAATCCTAAGCAGTTCATTGTTGAATTGGAGTGGATGTTTGTCCCAAATTTGAAGAGATCCCCTCAAGGCGTTGTTGAGACCCTGTTTTCACAAGAACTGGACGGATTGAAGGACAACCCAAAAACATAATGCCTTAACGAGACAAAAGATTTAATCAGAAATTGCTTACATATATAATACACAGTTTATATAATTAGAAGTACTGTATATTAGGGATGTCCGCAATAAGTCGACTAGTCAAAGTAACAATGCTGCCCTTGCTAGCTGGCACCAGAAACATTAGTCGGTTAAACTTATTATGAAGATATCCAGAGGATAACAGGAGTCTTGAGTGGCAAGCGAGACCTGATCATCAGTGGCACTCTGTCTTTCACATACACATGTGCAAGCTCTCAAACTCATATGTGTGTTACCAGAACAAGAAAGTATGTCTGAGCCTTCACATACTGGTGCCTGCTGGATGTCTTTTCGCTATGCTGAACAAAAGAGGTGCCTGGGTTGTCATTTTTTGGGTGCATGAGAGATTCGCATGAGTGTGTGTTCTGTTATTGAATTGAGTTGGATTGGGGTGTTAAATAGACAGGGATTAAAGGTTATTTGTTGACTTTGTTTAAGTGAGTTTCCAAAGTGCCACACATTTTAATGGCATTTAAAAGGATTTGGTTATTGGAAAATGTGATCAATGACTTTAAATGTCTCTTATAATATATACAATATTTTTTTGGACAATATTTAACTTTATACATTAAATTGTGCTCAATTCTGGCTGTTTTCTGAGAGTTATTTTACTTTTCAGACAAGTCAACTTTTTTAAGTTTAAACTTGCCGTCAGACGTCAGAGAAATAAGTTGTTACGAACATCCCTACTGTACATTATTGTACATGAAAACATTTTCAAATGTGCTTTTTGAGTACTGACCAAAATGTCCTTTAGCAAGTACCAACAACTGGCGTCAAAAGTTTGGTCATTTTTTTACTCTCTTTTTTTTGTCTAAATGAAAAAACACACACACAAACACACATAATTTCAACATGAGCCTGCACCTGTTCACAGCTGTAGCTCCACGCACCCCTACATGTTGTGTTATTGCAGTTTGCTACCCTGATGTGACTCACAGCATATGAGCTTGCATGTACTACAACACACACACCTTTAGCCTCCGTCCCCAAGGCCCATGCGTGCACACGCTCTGTCACACACACACACGCCCAATCCACAAGCCAATAATGCCCTGCAAACTAATGAGCTTCCAGCAACCGACCCTCACTGCATAAAAACACACACAGACACACAGACACACACCCACACACACAGTGGGAACTCCTGCTACCCCCCACCATGCCTCCAGGTGTCCAGTCCAAATGTCAGCCCAGGGAAAAGGGCCCCTCCACTGGGGCAGCCAGCGAAGAGGCTCCCCCTACGCTTCCCAGCCTACTGGAGGCATGCTTGCATACACAAACACACATGTGCAAACACACACAGATATACACCTCTCCCTCTGCCATGCCCTCTTTCTCTAATAAGCATCCAAACATACACACACAGAGCCAAATGGATCAAGTGGCTGGCTGACTGAGCGGGGTGGAGCAGAGACAGAGAGAGTCAGACAGAGAGAGAAACATTTTGTTTTTCGTGCCTTCCTGTTTAGCCACAAAATTGGGAATGTGCGCAGCTAATTTACAAGTTGCAGACAGAAAGACACACAAAGCCCCATGAATAAAGATTTGTGGTGATTAGAACGCCGCACTGGGAACTGAGACACACAGCAACTGTTTATGCAATAAACATCAGTTATAAGTGCTAATGTAATTTTGGAGAGGAGAGGAGAGGAGAGGATAAGGGAGGGGAGGAGAGGAGAAGAGATGAAAGGAAAGGAAAGGAAAGGAAAGGAAAGGAAAGGAAAGGAAAGGAAAAGAAAGGAAAGGACAGAAGAAGAGATGAGAGAAGAAGGCAGAGGAGATGAGAAGGGGGAGGAGAGGAGAAGGCAGAGGAGATGAAAGGAGAGATGTGGAGAGGAGAAGATATGAGAGAAGAAGGCAGAAGAGAGGAAAAAGGAGGGAGAGGAGAGGAGGAAAGGGAAGGGGAGGAGAGAAGGGAGGAGAGGAGAAGGCAGAGGAGATGCATGGAGAGGTGTGGAGAGGAGAGGAGATGGAAGGGAAGTGAAGGAAAGTAAAGGAGAGGAAAGGAAAGGAAAGGAAAGGAAAGGAAAGGAGGTAAGAAGGCAGAAGAAAGGTGAGGAGAGAAGAAGGCAGAGGAGAGGAGAAGGCAGGGGAGGAGAGGAGATGAAAGGAAAGGAAAGGAAAGGAAAGGAAGAAGAAATGAGGTAAGATGGCAGAGGAGAGGTGAGCAGAGAAGAGGGCTGAGGAGAGGAGAAGGGAGGGGAGGAGAGGAGAGGAGAGGAGAGGAAAGGAAAGGAAAGGAAAAGAAAGGAAAGGAAAGGAAAGGAAAAGAAAGGAAAGGAAAGGAAAAAGGAAAGGTCAGAAGAAGAGATGAGAGAAGAAGGCAGAGGAGACGAGAAGGGAGGGGAGGAGAGGAGAGGAGAAGGCAGAGAGGATGTGACGATGCGAGGAGAGGAGAAAGGGAGAGGAGAGGAGAGGAGAGGAGAGGAGAGGAGGTACGTGGTAAGAGAATGTGGAAAGTAAGGAAATATAAGGCCAAGTAGGAAACAGCTGAACCATTTGCATTACTTATAAGTGGTAATCACATGAAGAAGAGGAGAACAATTTAAGAGTTGAGATGAGGAGATGACGAGGACACAAAGAAGATGAGAAACAAAAGAGCAGAAGCTTTGATATATAATTATGTAAACCAAATGTCAGCTTATGTAATTCAATTCTACTTTGTCTTTTACCCACCAAAAGAGCTGCACCACCATTACCCGTGAACACGGTATTAAAGTAGAAATATCATTAAAATGAGCACTGCTTGATGGATTGAATTTACGCCAAATTAATGATTGGAGCCTAACAATTTGGAAAAATTGCCAAGTGCTTTGTTCTATTACAATACGGTATGTACCTTTGCAAAAGAGTGCAGCAGAGCTGCAATAATTTTCGCATGCACTTCTAAACTGGCATTTTTTTTTTTTGTCTCGGAAATATCAAAAAGAGAACAGCACGTATAAAGGTGAGCAGGAAGGCTAATAAGCACAGACACAACTCTGATTATGTCTAGAGACCTGGTTCTGTCTCTGGAGAGCTGTGACACTAAAAGCAATTAGTTGGTCCTATCCGTGACTCATATGAATTATTACAACAGCACTTTTATCCATTCACTTCAGTGTCAAACACCAGAACACGGGGCAAACTGTTGATTTATGCAGTAAATGGCATTTAGAGTCAAACAGCACAACTATTATAATGATTATTGTGTCCATCTGCTTTTATTGTTCCAGGTTCTGTTCTCAGAGAGTAGATGTGTGTTTATGTGTGTGTAGGTGAATGCATTCCTCTCTGGGTTTCTGCTTGTTATCTGTGTGCATCCATGTGTGTCTCTGGATGTCTGTGTTCATGCTTGTGCAGGTGTGTACGCGTTTGTGTCTGGGACCACCACTCACAGGGTTTCAGGTTCCTCTCCTGCAGCACAGACAGCCACTTGGCCCCGGTACCAAAGATGGTGATGCTGGGGGGAAGATAGACAGAGGCAAGAAGAAAAAGACGGAAATTAGATTTTTAAGCATACTAATATGGAAGGATCAGTGAAGCATTCTCTTCAAACATTACAAAAAGACAAAAACATTAATCAACTTTAGAAGATGAAGTCCATTATTTCGGGAAAAACAGAATCTGCGTCAGCGTTGCCAACAATGACAGCCGTTGCAAAAGCCCTCCTACGTACTACATGTATTGTGTTCTGCATTGTGACAGCAGAAACTTTTAACAACAGAACCAAATTAGCAAACATTATGAATCATCCTCTGGGGTGCTTTGAACATTGCCAAATTTCATGGCAATCTGGCCAATCATTTTTGAGATATCATGCTCAAGACCAAAGTGTTGGACAGATAATTGGATGGACAGACAGGCTGACGAACTGTGTGACATCATGATCCTTAATCATTGTTTTTGCGCTGGGAATTCGAGATTGTGTCCCACCAAAATTAAACAAGTCACACAGCTCTTTTCCAACACACCACACTTTATTTCCCAAATGTTTCTGACTATCTTGTCTTCATCAGGATGGTGATGAATACTATGACATATTGGAGGAGGGTTGGGTGACTTGTTGTTGTGGCCTTGTGTCATCATGGCTCTAACTTCAACCATTGTCTGCCAAATGAGAACGAGAAAACACATCTTCCACCAGCCAACAAAAACACAATTGTAGAATTTTAAAGTGTCCCACCCTGTCATGATTGTGCCACACCTTTGCAGCAGATGCACCACACTGTCCTCAGCTTGCACACAGCTCTGCACAAGTAAACCGACTTCTTAAGTGTGTCTTGGGATGTGATGTCACATCAGAGCCTACTACTGTAGCTGGCTAGGGAAATTTGTGGAATAATTAGTGGTGGTCAGTGGACAAGAGAGTGAAATTTAGTTTAATTTAGTATACACTAAATTCAAGGGTGATATATGGTGGGTTGTTATACATTTAGATTTCATGTGATTTCCTGAGTTATGTTGAATTGTGACACCAGAAAATTCTTGACCAATTTAAGTCATAGGCATCAGTAACACTATTTCGAAACATCCATTTACAAACTCTCACACAACTCGTGCAGTATAATTCAAGCCTCATTTCTCAAGGTGTATCATCAGGGACTAATTTTGTTAGAAAGTTTTATAATTGCCTAGAGTTGGTTCGTGTTCTCAAGGCAGCATTTACAAGGTGACCAGATCAAATACCTTGCGTGAGAAAGCTGCTCTTGATTGGTCAGAATTTCCATGTGGGAAAAACGTTGAAGAAGAGTACACTTGCAAGATAAATGTGACACTTTCTAATGTCACAATGGAGGGACAACTACGCAGGTTGATTTTAGCACTGCTCATCGTGGACTATATTGCTGTCATTGTTCATTTTAGTCAAACCATACAGTTTGAAAACGAGGCACGGCTCCAACTAGAAAACAATGTTTTGATGCACTGGATGTGCTGAATGTGCATATTAAGGCAGTACAGGAGGAGGTGCACATTAATAATCCTCCAGGACTGTAACATGCTCATGTTTAACCCAAACAATGTGTCATGTGACTGCAGTTGGTTCAGATCCAGGTCGAAACATGTTCTCACCACAAACGAACCGCACCAAGGTTCATATGTAAGTGGTTGTTTTGAGTTCGACTGAACCGAACCAAACAGGGCAGGTGTGAATGCACCCTTAGAGAGCAACTTTGGATTTACCAAAGTCACAGAATAACACAAACAAACCAACCTATCAAGGCTGGTGTAGACCAGAAACTCCCATGTTCAATGAGGTAAAATTACTTTTTTGTCAATGGTGTCTGGCTTTGGAAAAAGCATAGATACATTTCAGTTTACCGTTTAGTTCCCTGTCAGAAAGGGCTGTCTGTTTGGGAAGCACTGGGCATAAGACTGGATAAATGAGACTTGGATTATTCTGCACGAGTTGTGAGAGTCTGTGGAAGTGGATCCCCTATGACCCCTTATTTCTTCAAAAACATTATCAGTTTTTGGATTCTTCATTTGTGAGAGACATGGGGAAAACATTTTTTCCGTGATTCAACGTGACACAGGGTAAGTAATTGATATATAAATGGTCATTTAGTGGGGGTGAAGTTTTCCTTTAAATTTTCTCAATGGGGTAGAAGGGAAGAATTTGGCCCAGGAGAACAAACCCTTTAATAAAAAAAGAAACTGGCTGCATCAGCAACTGGCCTGTATTGGCAGAGTAATAGAGCATTATAAAGGCTTTATACAACTGTATAAATATGTCTGGATTTTACAATCCAGCTGACGAATGAGGCAGTGATGGTGAAACATGAATGAATGACCTGATGCAAGCGTGACTTCAGTGTTCAGCTAAACTGACAACACTCCAGTTGTTGCGCTGAATCTCTGCAAGGCATAATTTCAATGTCTGCGTGCTCAATGTGAAAATATAAAAAAAAGAGCAACAGTTACTGAGCAGCCTTTGCCCTTAATCCCATCTGCTCCAGTGGAGCTGCTCAGTAGCTCCGTTGTACTAGCGAGCTCCCAGGAGAGGAGTGTGTGTCACTGTGTAAATGTAAAGCAAGGTGATGCTGAAACAGAGCTTGTGTGCTCAGTCAACCCTTCGTGGATAGATAAGGAAAAATAAGAAACAAACTGATTGGGAATTGACTTTCAACTGAACAAACAAACAAAAAAAGAGTCAAACAAAATAATGGTCAGTCTAGCATAACAGGACAAAATGTCTTCTTTGTAAATGCTCCACAAGGAAATAGTTCAGAGGAGAATGTATTGGCAGGATGTTGGCACACAACAACCCTGAAATGAAATGATTTGGGAAAGTGTCTTTCTTCTGTGTGAATGGAAGGTATCCTGACAGCTGACAACAGTTGGACAACATGTGGAAAGCAAGAAAGTGACAAAACGTCACTTCTGTGTTCCCCTGCAGTTTTAATTCTAAAACAAAGGGCCTTTTTAAGTCTGCCTCTGTGGAAGGGTGTGTTGGTGTCTCAGTCTGTGTCTTCCTGTCTTTTCAAGCTATTTTTGTTGACATCAAATCAATCAAATTGCCTTCTATCACTTCGGTAACCATGTCTGTCAGTCAAAAAAGAAAAAAAGAAGGAGATCAAAAAAGAATCTGAGACACAAACAAGTGTCTGATGCAGGATTGGTCAATAAGCAGGAATTGGTTTGCAGTAAAAGGTGTGATTTGCTCTCAGATGTTGGGATCAATTGGTGGTAATAGAGGTTGTTGATCGGGTGAGGGAAGGAGTGGGGGTTATACAGGGTGAAAGGGCAAAGGTCCAAAGCAGTAATACTTCAGATGGAATGAAGCTATTTATACGTGCACGGGCCTAATACATGTGGACACATACACACACCTCTTCTAAACACTGCCTCTGCATGCCTCATCATTCGTCCCCTTTCTAATATGATAAAATCTTATTATCTTATTGACTGAATCCAAATCTCGACTGCCTGAGAAACTGTTAATGGACACTGCAGATTAACCAGACTTGTGTTTCGCTAATCCAACAATAAGATAATGGGAGAAATCAAGGTAATTTATCACAGTGATGCAAAAAATCATAAAAATACATTGTGCCTTGTCCCACTCATTGATTTGCAACATTGCCCATAATGGCCACATACACCAAGAGATTATAAAGGGATGGACACCATGGGAGTTCCTAAATCTGCCCAAATCTTGTTATATACACTTCTGTGCCCAATTTCTAGGCCTCATATCCACAACTTTTTCTCTGATATTACTTTTTTCCCGATTGTTTAGGCAATATCTTTGAAACTTATTTTGCAAAACCCTACACAATAACCACAAAACTTTACATCTAACCAGCAAAACATTATACATCTCCTTCAAAAGCAAACAATTCTTGCAAGATTCTTCAAAGTCTTTTTGAAAAATGTATGTATAAAACACTTCTAACTTTTGCTTTTTCTGTATGCAGGGCATGGCATTTTGCAGTACAGCTTTGTCATGCATGTTAAACAGGATTTATACTTGTGCGTTACGCACGCAGAGCCGACGCTGTAGCCTACACACGTGGCCTACACTGTTGTGAGCATTTATACTTGTGTGGTGCTGTATCTGTGTTACTCTGCAACTACACCTCCAAACCACTAGTTGGCTGCGGGGTTTCTGTGAGTTCACAAATCAGCTTCACTATAACTCACAGCATTCACAGACAAAGCATTTGTCTTTTGCTGGACACATTTTCCCACAAATACAACATGCTACTGTTTCTAGCAAAAGTCTATGGCATTTTACATTGTATAAATTAGCCTAGCAGCTAGCGGACTTTTCCTTGACTCATATGAAGCCAGGGACAACAACAACATTTAACGTTACAAAATTCGGCTCCACTACAACTCACAGGGTTCACTGACAAAACAACTGTCTTATACTAAACACATTTTCCAAACAAAAATAACATGCTAACATTAGCACAAGCCTATGGCATTTTACATTGTATTAGTTAGCCTTGTGATGAGCGGAGATTTCCTCCCCTTATATGAAGCCAGGATAAATCACACACAAGACTTAAAATGCTATTTTTGTGGAGGCTTTATTATTGTCACAATTTATTGTTTCTTATCTGTGAAATTAAAGTAAATAAAAGCTTTATTTCACTGAGGGAAATGGTTTCAGCGTACAAAAATAGACAGGAGGTCTGCGTAGCTGTGACATGTAGTTACATTTCTGGCTACAGGCTGTGGAGTAGGCTCTACTTAGAAGCAGACCTTACGCTATAAGTACGGTATCGATTCAACCCAAAAGTATAAATCCTACATTAGTAAAAACACGTAAACAAAGGTATTCAAATGTGTTAAGTATAGATGTGTATTCCGAACAAAAAAAAAGACTATTTATCTCTTCAATACTGGCCTCTACTGTTGTCCAAATGTTTACCTGTAGTGTGGTTATAGTGCTCAAGCTCTGATTTGTAAGTGAACTCATTATCTAAACGTTTTTTCACGTGTCAATGTGGA